CGCTTTTCAGGGTAAGTCGATGACGAGCCAAAGTATCTGGATCTTGACCCTTGCGGCCAGTGTGCAAGCCCTCTCCTTGGTAAAGGCTATGCGTTCTCATGGATGCACCTCCAGCTTGATCAGCGTGCATGAAGCCAACACTTAATTGGCTCTCCGCAAGCTGGGTTGAAGGTGGAGCTTCTGTCAACGTCCAACGTTGCCTTGAAACCGGCGATGTGCCTGGTGTTAGTGCGCCATGAGAAGGTGCCAAAATCCACCGATGGACTTCTGCAAAATGCCAACTGTACGGATACGGTTCTCTAGGAAGTTGTGGTGGTTTACCATCCTGGAGGGGTTTGATCATCTAACCATCCTAGTCCTCTGTTCCGAACTCACTACCCTAGGGACGAACCCCCTACCGCCATGACTAACCAACCTCTTCCGTACACCGAGACGACACCTAGCCATCCTTGTGGATCGACCCTATCCGCACTTGTTAGAGGGATAAATGGCCACTCTACCACAGAATTTTTTGCGGTGTTGGCACCATCCCCTGAAGTCTCAGAAACGCTTGCGGCAATGCGTGGGATTCCGCCAGCATTGTTAACGGTCTGCTCAAATTCCTCAATGATTTTCTCGAATGAGGGGAATATAGTTGTGTCCTCAGCCTGCAACTCCTCATAGCTCAAAAGCAACCATTTTTTGGAATTTGTTTGGCTGGCCAGAACATGACGTCGGTGGAGTCTGTCTCGGTTGACGTACTTCTTATGCACACGCCATATTGCGTTCAAAACTTTAATGTCTTGCTCTACTAATTTCTCAAAATCCTCACGTGAAGTGGACTCAGCAAACACGGGCAAATCCCACAACATCCTTGCCAAATGCTGGTTAATGTGCCGAACCCATCCCATCATAGTAAGCGTCCGAGCTCGCCGCTTTTGAGCGGATACTTCTCTATCCTCGTGCCTGGGCAACATGATTTGCCGAATCAAAGGGGACATGCGGCTGACCTCTTTGATGTTGTAATTTTCTTCTTGGCCTTTTCCCTTGTAGGATGTCGTGCTTTCTACTAATTCTAAAAGGGTGTCACCTATAGATTGTCGAACAGGCTCAAGATCCTCGGGAAGAAGCGACAAGACCCCTAAATCCATGGTCAAGATCTTCAGAGTGATGAGCGCCAAACGTGCACCCTGGTCTGTGCTAAGAAAAGGAAGTACACTGTTACACATGCAAGCATTTCTGTGCATCCAGTCCAGAAGATTTATGACCTGCTGACGTGCTGCAAGAGGCATCCCTCGCCCTTCCCAATCTTTCCACGTCTCACCAATGCGGAAACGCTGCCTTCGACCTGATCCCCCCTCGGGCGCTTCACCGGAAGACGTAGAATCGCCGTCCTGATGAGTGCGCAGCCCACCCTGACTGAACTGCAGTTGCGCCGACTCC